CCAACTGATTTTTGACAAAAGTACAAAAGCAACTCAATGAAAGCCATTCCAACAAACGGTGCAGGAACACCTGGGCATCCATAAGCAAAGAAATGACCCAGACGAGAAGTCTCACGCCTTATGTAAAAATTACACAGAAATGACCTTGGAACGGACCATGGAAGAAATGTAAAATGTGAAACCATAAAACCTTTAGAACAAAGCCTACAGCATCTTCAGGACCCAGGGCCTGGGAAGAGTTCTCAATACTCAAGCCCAATCCATCGACGGAAAGTGGAAAACTGGACTGCATCAAAATGAGAATCTCTTGCTCCCAAAGGACGCCATAAGAGGATGAAAACACAAGTCCCGGAGGGGGAGAAAATCTCTGCCAACTACTGTCCGACAAAGGGCTTGTATCTCGAATAAGTAAAGAATTCTCAAAACTCAGTGATTAAAAAAGCAAACTCTTTAGAAAATGGACAAGAGACATGAAGAGACATCTCATCGAGGAGGATGTGCGGATGGCAAACAAACACAGGATGAGATCTCCAAGGTCGTCAGCCATCAGGGAAATAGAAATGAAAACCGCCATGAGATACCACTACCCCACTCTGAACAGCTAAAGCAACACGACACCACCAACTGCTGACAAGGACGTGGAGAAGCCGGGCCACCCACGTGGTGGGACAGAAGACAGCACCGTCACTCCAGAAGAGTGCGTGGCCATCCCTTGCAGAGCTCAACCCTCGTTCCCCGTGCCACCCAGTGACTGCGTTCTTGGGTATCTGTCCCAGAGAAATGAAAACTTACATTCACGCAAAAGTCTGTATGGGGATGAAAGATCTTGGAGGTTTACTATGGCCCCAAACTGGGAACAACCCAAATGCCCTTCAAAGGGTGAACAAGGGCAACGCATCCACACCGCAGACGTCTCAGCAATGAAAAGAAATGAACTTTGGACACACACAACTTGGATGAATACCCAGAGAATTATGCTCAGAGGAAAAAGCCAGTCTCCAAAGGTAACATACCATTACGATTCCATTTATATGAAAGTTTTAAAATGACAAAATCATAGAGACAAAAGAGATCAATGATTGCAAGGGTTAGGGATGGCGGGTGGGCGGGGAGATGGCTGTGGCTCTGAAAGGGCAGCCTGAGGGTCCTCGTGACGGAACCGTTAGCATCTTGACCGTGGAGGTCACGCGAATCAGCACACGTGATAAAACCACATGCACATGGAGACACACACACACACACACACACACGCACATGCAGGCAAGACCTCTGAAGTCTGAGTGAAGGCCAGGGCTTTGCACCAATGTCACATCCTGGTGTGACCCTGCATGGCAGCTCTGCAAGATGTCACCACCGGGATACACTGGGCGAAGGATCTGTGGGGTATCTCTGTACCATTTCTTAGAACTGCACGTGTATCTACAATTATGTCAAAATAAAAAATTTCTTAAAAAGACATTTCTTCCAATGAGACCCCACGGGAAGCGCATCTAGGAGTCCAGGGGGTGGCGATACCTGGGGAGCTGGTTCAAGTCTGTACAAAGGCTGGCCCGCCTGCCTCCTGCCCACCCAGGGGCCTGAGATACCTCTGTGGACCCCAGGCCCCAGCGGGCACCAGGCCACAATCCTCTTGAACCTCCTCACGCCCCGTTTCAGTGGGACCCTTCTTCTCGGGAACTCTAATTTTGGTTCCACTTTCTGGTGAACCTGAAATCAATGAAACTCCAATTCTTTATGGAAAACATCCCTATTACAGATAGATAATTCTTATAAATTATTACAAATCTGAACTTATGAGCTCAGAGTCAATTTCAAAGCTAGGGAGAGAGGCCTTGGTGGAAACGACCGCTTACTTAAGACCCGTTTTGCTGCACAGGGACGCACATCAGTTACCCTCCCACCATGACAGAGGGAGTGCATGGAAACAGCGAACGTGTTCGTCCTGTGTGCAAAAACACTGTCGCCCCTGCAGATGCAGCGTTTGCCCGGGGGTGTGGGATGGTCGCCTCAAGGGGGTGGGCAAGGCAGATTGGAGGGACACAGTACAGGGTGGGTGTCAAGGCAGGGCTCTGCAGAAATGGCAGAGTTTGGAAAGGCAGGGGTGACGTATACACAGGGAGCAAGCGGCGGGGCACCCACCTGAGCAAAGCTCCTGCGGTGAGACATTCAAAGGGGGGTCAGCGGACATGCTTCCCTTTCTGCTCTCATCTGGAGCGTTGCATGGAGTCTCCAAGGGGCTTGGTGGCCCCTGGCCAGTTCCATCCAGGATTTGGGACAATGAGACCAGGAGGGGACAGATGCTCCCGGGGGCGGGGGCGGAGGGACTGCTGCTGTGACCACCAGCTTCAGGGGGTCCCGCCTGGGTGGGGACCCCACACGGCAGCCACTACCCACATGTGGCTATTTCTATTAAATACAAGGAGAAATTTAGCTTCTCGGCTGTAGGAGCCACAGTCGTGTGTGAGCCCATTCAACCCAGCAGAGCCAGAAGGGATTTCATAAAGCTGAGGGGCCTGGGGCTGGAGAAGGGTGCGGGGTGACATGGGGTCGGCCTGGGATCCGGCCCCCGTTGGCTTTTGCTCATGTCCCCATGTGAACTTCCCAAACCTTAGAAGCTGAGTCAATACTGAACACACATTCCCATTTGTTTTCCATTAGAACGTGCATCTGAAACCCTTCATTAGCCTAACATTCCAGAAAATAATGACTAACTTCTGGCGGTGGTTTTTCCTTATCCCACAAAGGCACTGTGTAAAAACCCTTCCATTATTGTAATTTACTGGTGTAAGGGAAGACACTGGAGAGACTATTTCCAAGTCCCCAGGAGTCTCCTGCCTCGAGGATGCGGTGCCCGCTTTGTCTAGACGTCAGGGTGAGTGAGGGCATCAAGCCAGGTCCAACGGGGCACCGTGCAGCTCCATCCCTAGCTTTGCACAAAGAGGCAGTCACCGTTCCCCTCTGAGGGTTGTTCTGGGAACATAGGTGGAGCTGGGGTCCCCCAGGGGCTTCGAAAGTCAGCCAACATTTAGTGCAAAAGGTCCCAGAAAGGCTCCAAGTGTCTGGGGAATCAAGGACCAGTCAGGGACAACACCAGCCCTCAGCCTGCCCAGGCCACACCCAGCTATCCGAGGATGCTCCTATCAGGATTTCGAGGGGGAGACAGAGTAATTTGCTGCTTTTGTTATCCTAATGAGTAAAGGCAGTTACGCATTTGGGAAAACTGTCTCTATCAATCTATTTGAAAGTAAGATGCCGGAGGCTTGATTTGTGACATCCAGGCAGCTTTACAGAGCGTCCTAGGTCTCGGGGAGAGAGGACCCGCCGCTTCTGTTAACAAGAAAGCCCCTTCCCCAAGCCTGACACTCACTCCACACCCTGATCCTTAAAGAGCTGGCTGTTGGCAGCCCTCATCTGTTTTCTTTGGCTGCTTGTAGCTAATATGGCCACCCGCCGCCTGCCCCTGCCCCTCAGGGGCCTGCAGGGCCCAGCTGCCCAGGGTTCCTGCAGAAATAATGTCATATCCCATTCCCTTTGCTGACACCAGGCTGGCCCGAGCGTCCCAATTCTGAGAGACAATCAATCATAAACGCAATCCACCTTGCTGCAGCAGCAGCCCCGAGATGGAGCTAGGACAGCCACCTCCAGTGGAGGAGGGTGGATAAATGTCTGCTTTCGCGGGCCCCGCCTCCCCCCAAGCCGGAAGCCCACTGACCCCTCCTCAGAGGCCCGGGAAGCTGGCCTCAGGTTGCCCGGCACCGCAGACCTTCCCCAGAGCCGGGAAGTTTTCCCAGGATGGGTGCCCGCCGGGGAGCCAGGGAGGGGCAGCCTCTAAGATGCAGGACACCCCGTTACATTTGACGTTCAGATCAACAAGCAATACCCTTTACTCTAAGTATGTTCCCGATACTCCTGCATAAAAATGATCCCTTGTTTCTCTGAAGTTCAAATGTAACCCGAGTCCTATATTTTAGCGGTAACTTCCGGCGGCCCCAGCAGGGACCTCAGCAGTGGTGCTTGACTCAGCTCCCCACTCGACCCCAGATGAGCAGTTGTCCCAAGGACAACCCCGCCCCCAATCAGGAGACAGCGGGGCTGTGCTTCTCAAACGTAAGCAAGTGCAGAATCACCTGGGAGCTCGGCTGCTGGCCCCGGGGCCCCAGTGCAGAGTCTGAATCAGCAGGTGCGGCCACAAGCGATGCATTTGTGACGTGTCCCCAGCTGATGCTGCAGGTCCCTGAGCGGGGGTCCCAGCATCGGCTGGGGCTTCCCCCCACATCCACACCAAGGGGCTGGGGCTGCCTCCTCCACCTCCCCAGGCCCTGAGTCTAAAGGGGAGAGGTGGGTGCCCACTTCTTGGTCATTATGTCACCCAGAGGCCAGATGCTATAAAGTGGTCATTATCATTTATGCTGGACAGGAGCCCACGGGAAGACAGGCTCTGGGTCAGCTCTGAGGGGAACCAAGGCCTCAGGCACTCAGCTCACCTCCTCGGGCTGGGGAGTTGGCCCTCTCACGGGCTTCCTGTTGTGCTTGGAGTCAAACCCCAAGGGTGCCCAGGAGGCCTCAGGTGGCCGGCCTGCTCTCTGACCTGCCCCAGGACCTTTGCACATGCTCTTTCCACCCCTAGTTCCCTCCCAGCCCTTCTCCCAGTGCTGTTCCTTATCACGCATCAGCTGTTGGCCCACAGGGCGCCTCCGCAGAGGGACCTTCCCTGATCTCCAGCCGCCCCCCTGACTCAGTGCCCCATGGGTTTCCTTCTGAGCCTAATCATCACTGCAATAGCTTCATTCCCTGTTTTTGCTCTTTTGTCTGTGCCCCCTCTGGACCGTGAGGTCTGTGGAGCAGGGACCCTGCTCCCTAGTGCACGCAGTAGGTACTCATAAACACCTGCTAAAATAAACGAATCAGGGACGAGTCCCACGGTGCCACCACGGCGGCAGGGACTGCGTGGCCCTCCCCAAGAGTGGGGCCCCTGCCCGCCCTTGGGGCCCGGGGCTCACCTGGCTTGGAACCTTCATCCACAGAGCCGTTGTACAGCTGGCTGAGGAACTCGGGGCGGTTGTCGTTCATGTCAATTACGTAGATGTACAGGTCGATGGGGTTCTCCACCTTGTTACCATTCATGTCCACGGCGTGGGCTCGGAGCTGGAAAGCAGCACACGCCATCAGGGCTGGCGGCCACCCAGTGGGGACACACCTGACCGACCGCCTAAGAACAGTCGAAAGCAGGTTCCTTGGACCCACAGCACTGGGACAGTGGTGACATAACAGCTCCGGGACCACTGAGGGGCAGCCCAGGGACACGTCATGAGCCTCGGCTCTCTGTGGAAATGGGGAAGGGTCCCGAGAGGGCAAAACCGGGTGTCCCATGGGAGCCTGAAACTGACCCGAGGGCCCACGCCGATGCCCACCCAGGACCCACTCAGACTGTCCCCACACTATTGACCATGAGGGTTCACGTCCACCTAGAGTAGCTACAGAAAAGCCACTTGTGCCAACCAGGGCTGGGGGCTTAGACTCCTGCTGCTGAGAGGTCAGGCCTGGGAGAGACACATGGGGGCCTTGAACTTGGGGGTCCACTGTGAGGCCACCCTGCTGCCCATTCACACCCCGGCTTATCTGTTCTTGGGGCAGCAAAGAGGAAATGGGTCCAGGGGCCCTGGGGTGGAAACCCCCCACTCTGCTGGGGAAGGGGCTCCAGGGAACTGCATCTGGGGACGACTTCAAGGTACAAAGGGAAGAGATCCCCTCAACTCGGGCTGGAGGGTCCAGAGGGGCTGCTCAGACTCACCCCTTCACTTCTGGATTTCTTTTATTCATTCATTCACTCCCTTATTAATTCATTCCCTCAGTCAATATCTATCGAGGGCCCATCTGTGCCAGGCACTGGGCTGCACCCTAGACTATGGCTCAGTGAAACACGGGGCTGCCCTGGGGCTTCTCGTGTAGAAGGGAGACGGACCCTGAGAAGGAAAGGACGCAGTACAGAGCGCGTGTGACCACAGCGACCCGCTGGGGTGGGGAGGAGGCCAGGCAGGCCTCTCAGAGGAGATGAGGTTGGAGCTGAGCCCTGGACAAGGGGCCAAGAGGACAGCAAGTGTGGAGGCCTCCGTGGGGCACGCAGAGTGGCTGAGCCCTGCGGGCAGCAGCGGGGGCTGGAGTGGGACCACTGGGGACCTGGGATTTAGATGGGAAAACCAAGTCTTGGAGAGTGGAAGGGACCTGCCTGGGGTCTCTCCAGGCCAGAGCTGTAACTGTCACACAGCCGTGTCCCAGACCCCATCTCTCTGTGGAAATCACGTTACCCTCCAAGCCGGACACACCGGACCTCAGGGTCTTTACACCAAGACGGCGCCAAGCCAAGGGTGCCCAGAAGAGCCTGTGCTCCAGGCCTCTGGGGGGAGGGGTCTCTGAGCGGGGGCCCCACCCACAGTCGTCCACGCCACCCCCTCGGTGCCCTGAACCCTGCGCCCTGCCAGTCTCAGGGGAGAGGCAGCGGTGCCCATCCTTGTCTGCAGGAGGGGCCTCCTGCTAACTGCAGCACGCCAGCCCCAGCCCGACAGCCCTGGGTGGAATTTTACCCTTGAAACAGTGTGTTTAGCGGGGAGCTCCAGGCTGGCTTCACAGACCAGGTGATCTGAGTCATCAGAAGGGGACAAATGAGCACTGATTCCTGGGACCCGCAGCCCGCTAAGTGGTGTGGCTGCCCCCTTGCAGAGAGTCTTGAAGTATTGTGTTTAAATGTCTCAGGATGCTGTGCGGTTGTTTCCACTAGCCACCCGCCCCAGCCGCCGTCAGTCCCCAGTTCCGGGAGCCCCGGTCTGCACCTGCCCTGCTGTGGAAGCCCTTCCCGCGGGCCACCAGGCCATCCTTCATCTTGTCAAGTGCAGCCAGGCAATAAGGCACTGAGCCAAAGGTTGAGAAGACTTCTCAAAAGGGTCATTCTGAGCTAAAATTAAAGTTACCTTCTAGCTAAAGTGACACTGCCGCTTGGGCCGCTATCTTCAGCAGCTGGAGCATCCCCAGGCTGGTGCGGTTCTCCTCGCCCACCGCCCCCAAGTTTAAATAACATTCAATAGTGTCCGCTGGAAATCTCTACGAGCCCCCCCCAGCCCCGTCCATCTCTCAGGCTGCGCACACAGCTGCCGGCTGGGGGACGGGGGTCTGTCTTGGTGGTGGAGACAAGAAATGTCCTGCGACTTGCGAATCTGAGCATCGCACGCCAAGCGAAATTTCCCGTGATGCACTGTGGGTGCCTGCGGACCGTGTGCGGGACCCTGTTCTCTCCCCTTCCAGGTGCTCGCTCTGCGTGTCTTAATCGTGAACCATTGGTTTCTTCCTGGGGCACGGGACCCGGAACATTCTTTGTGGGCCCTGGAAGTGGCCTCACGTGGACTCTGGAGGCTGTCTTCCATCACCACCAGCCTCTGGCTCTCGCTGCACCCTGGCTTGGGCTGGGGGTGCCCCCAGAACTCGACATGCACTGCCTTACCTCACAGCTCACAAGAACCCGTGAGCTGGGTGCTGTCCGATCCCTATTTTAGAGATGGGGAAACGGAGGCGCAGGAAGATTAGCGAACTTGCCCAAGATGACGTATGTGGGAGAACCCGACAGCAAGCCCTCTTACGGAGTCCCGAGAGAACCTTCTGGGGAGTCATCTTGCAGGGCAGTGACAGCTCGTCTGTCTTATGTTTGTGGGCCTCCACGCGGTCGTCTCATGCTGACCCGTGTCCACAGTTTACCAGCTCCCTCTCAGGTGGGAGAGGTCATCCCACCCACTCCACAGGCAAAGGTCCTGGTGGAACTGGGGTCGGGGGGAGCAGAGAGGATTCTAAAAGGGCCGCAAGGATGTGGGGCACTGGTCCCAGGAGTGAGGGCAACGGGGCTCACCCCGTGATCAGGTCAGTCATGTGGCAGGATTGGCTTTAGTGGCAGGGAGACTGTCTGGGTGGACAGAGGTAGCCTCGTGGCCTCTAAAATCAGAGCACTTTTCCTGGCCAGCGGCAGGCGAGAGAGTCAGAGACTTGTGGTGCCATCAGGAGGTGGGAGTGGCCCCTGGCCAACAGCCGCAAGGAACTGGGGGCCTTTCTGCCTCCAGCTCTTCCCCTTGGTCTCTCAGTCAGCGCGGACTCGTTGGCAGGCGAGGGGAGCTCACCTTGACCTTGAGCCATGCCGTGAGCACTGTGGTGGCAGCACACAGCCCCCGTGGGGCGCCAACAGTCACGTTGAGTCGGTGTGTTTCCGCGAGGCTGGCTGAACACGTGTTGGCTGGATTGTCTCGCTGGTTCTGTGCACCCACCGTGGCGGTTAACGGTGGGCCGGGAACTCTGGAGACCCCAGACCACTGCCGGTTGGGTCACCTTTCCCCAGACCTGGCTCCTGCCTTCCCAGCAGCGGGTCTGGGGGGTGCGGAAGGGGGCTCAGGGAGGCGTGTGGTGCCCTCGGCATCGAGCAGCTCTTGGGGTGCCGGGGGCTGGGGATCCTCAGGAATGGACGTAACACTGGGTGCAGCTCTGGGCCGTTTGCACCGAGGCGCAGATGGGGCCCTGGAGGCCCAGACAACCACAAGGTGGGGTCCTCAAGCTTTGGCCTTCCTGTCGATCCCACCTCAAAGGGGGCCACGAGCCTCATGGCCTTGTGTGACCCACACAGTCACATGGGCCCTGTGTTCAGAAGGGCCTGCGTGTGCTTTAATGCTCTGCCGTTACTGTCTTAAAATCCTTAGTAAGCTCGGAGGGGCCCCTGTTTCATTTTGTGTCGGACCCAGAAATTCTGTAGCCGTCCTTACCATAGGGAAGTAATCGACTGAGAGAGGAAACCCTCGTGGCTCAGAGGGGACTGCCCGCCCCCCAGGGTGGGCTCCCACAGGTGCACCTGCTTCTGATAGGACGTCAGGAGTCCCTCAGGGGAGGCCACCGTTGCCAATGACAGAATGAACCTCCTCGCACCCACTCCCTCCCTTCTGCGAATGGGTTGTGAGCATCCCCCAAGGGCTGGGCTCTGGTCTCGGGCCAGGGGATGTGGTGTGGACAAGCCTGATGGCTCCCTGCCTGCGTGGAGCCTTCCTTCTGGTGCAGGAGGTGGACAATTAACCCGAAAGAAATAACCAGCAAACACGAGGAGCAGCAGAGCCTGGCCACCTCGAGCTGAAGCCGAGTGAGCTTAGGGCCGGTCAGGAGGACAACACGGGCAGGAGGCTGCGAAGTCCATCCTCTCACGTGAACGTCTTTGTTTGTAAATTACAATCCAGGAACTGGAAGTTCTGACGTCTTGACGATAACTCCAAAGGCAGCCTTACCAGGGGCTGGGCTCTGTCCTAAATGCCTCATGTGTGGTCACCCGTTGAGTCCTCGCAACAACACGCTGATGCAGCCTGGCCGTCCGCCCCCTTCGCAGGAGAGAGCACCGAGGCCGGAGAGGTTAAGTGCCCAGGTCTCACCTGCTGGGGGCGGGGCTCCAGCCCGTGTGACCCCCGCAGGTGCAGACCCTCATCCTGCAAATAAGGATGCAGAGCCCGGAGAGGGGCCTGGCACCAGGGCAGAGGGCGTGAGAGCTGAGGCTTCCGCCTTGCTCCAGGGCCACTCCCATGGGCCACCAGGCTGTGAGGCCGAGGAGGAAAGGGGTGGACAGTCCCTTTCAGCTGAACCCTGAAGTCTCCACTTTCTCCTCCTTTCTCCCTCTCCACGCACAGCTCTGAGATGGAAACAGCAGTGCTGGCTTCAGAGCTGCCTTTCCGCTCTCAGAGAGGCAGGAACAGAAGGGCTGCAGGATGCATGTCCGGCCATCACAGAGGCCGGGGATGGCACAGCAGCCTCTCGACCTCCCCCCACACCGACCATCAGAGCTCCTGGCAGGTCACGTGGATCCACGTCTTCCAGGTGGATCCAGTTCCACCAGTCGCTCCCCCAGGGTGTCCCAGACCCTCCCAGCATCACCCGGGAACGTGTTACAAGTGCAAATTCTCGGCCCACCCAGCCCCATGAAACAGACACTCTGGGGTGGTGCCCCGCACACCCCTGGGCTTTCTGATACAGACTTGGGTTTGCCCTCCCCCTGCTCAGGGACCTGAGGCCACGGACACTCACGTGGTAGGAGGCTCGCTCCTCCCGGTCCATGGGCCGTGTGACATACATCCGGCCAGACATGGAGTCGATGCTGAAGACCTCCACCGGGGGCTGGTCGGCGCCCACGCCCGTGATGCTGTAGCGGATAGGGATGTCGCTGTCTTTGTCAGACCGGATCTGGAAGGAGGAGCAGGTGGGGAGGAGGGTCAGGCCGCGGTGTGAGCAGGGCCATGCTCATCCCACCTGCCGGCCACACACGTGGACTCTCCCAGGTGCATCTGGGGCCACAGCCAACGCTTCGTCCACTCCGGGGACCGGAAGGGCAGGCAGAGGCCAGGGGTTTACTGAGAGCCACCGCTGCACGTCTGGTGGCCCGCCAGGTGACAGGGGAGGACAGGACACAATATTCCAAGAGGAAAGGGTGTGCAGCGAGCATGGCAGAGCCAATGACACCGACGGGAGAGCCTGCAAATGATGGTTTGAAGTGGCTGAGGACCCAGTGCAAACACCCAGCACAGCAAACCTCGACAAAGACGAGGGCAAGGGAACAGCACACTCCACGGAGGTTTGAGGGAAAAAGGTCGGGGCCCAATATGCTTGTGCCCCTGAGCTGTCATCCGTGTAGGAGGGAACAGACATTTCTGGATGCGCAAAGATGCAGAAAATGTCCTGTGTTCTTGCGCCTTTGACAGAGGCCCTGAGGGGTGGGTCACAGCCAGGATCTCAATAGGGGCTGTGACAGAAACGGCCCATGACCAGTATTTAGACACAGAAACTTAACTCTGAAAACTGCTGTCAATGTGGTTTTATGGAGCTGAGTACAAGCACAAAAAGTGTTTTTTTTTTTAATAACAGAAACTGTATATTGTTGAAAAACAATTTAATAATGCTTATCTGGGCCCCAAATCCAAAGTAAGTTAGCAAAGCCTGAGAGCTGGGGGAAGAAATGGAAAGAACAGAGAAAAATGCACGATTCTGTGTTTTATGTGGGGTGGGGTGGGGGCTACACAGAAACAACATGTCACTTCTGACCAGATCATTAGACAAACATACGTCTTTGGGAAACAGAAAAGGACACCAGCAGAATTAAACAAAGACGTACGTCTTTCATTCAGATGAAGCAAAGACTCTTGTCACATAAAGGGCAGTTAATAATCATAGACACCGTGAAAGACTTGTCCGAGAGTGCGAAACTGTAAATAAGCCACAAGGATGTGAAAGGAATAACTGATGGGGTCAAATTAAGATTAGCATAAAACTCTGAATACACCTTTAGAAAACACAACTTTTAAAAATCAAAGTCCAGGGGACCATGGCAACATTTTATAAAATGGACCACAACGAAAACCTCAAATTGCACAAAGCAAAATTGACCAGGACATTTTATTAGAATAATGCAATTAAAATTTAATGATAATTTTAAGGAGACATTTTAGAAAACATTCTGAAGTAACCACAGGTTAAGGAATCAAAACCACATTTAGAGGTGATTTAAAAATAGTAATGACAAGAAGACGATTACACAGTGAAACCCAAGGAATTTGGCCAGAGATTGAATCAAAGCAAACCCTTAACTTCAAATGTTTTCATCATTAAAGTAGAATTACAGTGAATGAACTGAGCATTTAGCACCAGAAGGAAAGGAATGACAAAGGAGGATGCGGCAAACACCCAAGTAACTGATTAAGACGAATGCAGAAATTTCTAAATCTGAAAACAGAAAAATTGGATAAATAGATTCAAGAGCTGTACTTTGGAGAAAAACCCACAAGAAAATAGATGTACCTTTGGCAAATTTAAGAAGAAAAAAAATAAGACTTAAAAGAACATTTTATTCTTTATATTTTATATTAGCCAAGTCGAAAATCTTGACGAAACTGTTTATTTTTTGAGAAAATATAAAATTTCAAACTCAGCTAGCAAGAAGAGCAAACGCAAAGAGACCACTATTTCTTTAGGAAATTCCTCCGCAAAGGGCTCCAGGGTCAGGTGAGCTTACCTAGGAGGTATTTGAAAGTTTTTCAGAGCAGAGGACACAAGAGAAAAAGCAATCCCCCTGGTTTTACAAATCCTCCTTGGATACCATTCTCCTCCTGAGAGCACAAAGTAAGGTAACTGCAAACCAATCCCACACAGAGACGGAGATGTTACGGTCAGAACAGAAATACCAGCAGGTGGGGTTCAACCTGCACTAGAGCCGCCATCATCACATCCAAACGGGAGGGCTCAGGTGTGACCTGAGAGTGAGTCCTTGTTAGAAGCTCCAGCAGAGCAAACCTCCAAAGAGCCTGTATGGTCCTGTTTCTGCTACACTTTTGTAAACGGTCAGGTGTTTACGTTAAATGAGACCAGATTTATTTTGCAAACAAATCGGTCTTACCATGATTACCTTTGGTAGGAATGTGGGTGATTGTAGAGAGAAAAATTAGGTTTTGGTAGAAAGCTGTACTTTGAGATTCTAGTCCTGTTTGTTATCTTTGAGGTTTTATTTTCTCCCTGTAACTGGACTGCATCCGCATTCTTCTAGTTTCCTCAAACCACTGGCCGCGCTTCTCCAAACCAACGTTTCTAATGTTCTCCTGCCTGCCCCCTCCTCCCCCTTTTTTGGTCACGCCTCACAGTATGCAAGATCTTGGTTCCCCGACCAGGGATCGAACCCACGCCATTGGCAGTGAAAGCGCCGAGTCTTAACCACTGGACCACCAGGGAAGCCCCTTCTCCTGCCTTTCTGACTTGGAATCACTAAGAACAAAACTGCCCTTTCCCCAAAGCCCTGCAAGCTAAGGCTGGATGACTGGGTATGAACTTCAGAGAAGCCCCCGAAACAGCTCATATACCGACAGCCTGCCTGCCTGTTGCCATGCCGATGTTCAGAAAGTTCCCTGGAACATGCAATGACCTCATCAGAGGCAACCAGACTGCAGAAGATGCTGTGAGATCACCAACCAGAAATCTTCTCGACTGGCTGCCCCCAGGACTCAGAAACGGGTTTAGAGCCTGTTCCAACCATTAACTTTGTTTTTCTTTTCCTTCCATGGAAATGCCTCATATTATACACCTGACTGTTTGCATCCTGTAGAGCCATCCTGCAACCCTGCCTCCTGAAATGAGACTACTGCTAACTGAACTGAGAGATGGGTTCAGTGACATGGAGCAACCCGCCAGCCCAGCTGCTAAGCCGCAAAACTGCTTGGGGGAGTGTCAAAGGCGGGGATGAAGGTTAGCAAGACGCCACCCCCAAACATGCCGCTGGGTGTAGTGACTGTTTTCAGCTGCAGGCCCTTGAGAACCAGCAGGTACCAGAGGGGTTTTCTCTGAGCTCCCTCATCTGCCTGGAGACAGAGACTCAAAGAAGCTCAGGTGTCACAGATCCCCTCCCCCCACGGTGGGGTTATCACCTGAGGAGGATTATTGCCTCTAGTCTTGGGAGGGGGGCTAGAAGAGACAAGCACACCGAGGCTGACCTGCCACACCACCACACCTCCCATCCCTCCTCCAAGGGTCCATCATCTTTCCTACAAGTCACTTCCTCTCCCCTGAGAGGCCTACATTCCCCTCCCCTTTTCCTCTTAGGCTTGAATTCTCAGCCATCTTGGGGAGCTGCTCATTTACCCTGGGTCCCCCATGTATATGGGACGCACTCATGTTAATAAACTTACTCTGCCTGTTCTCCTGTTAATTTTCTATTACGGGGGTCTCAGCCAGGAACTCAGAAGGGGCGAGAGAAATTTACTTTTCCTCCCCCTACACGCCTAAGTGGGATTCATCTCAGAAACTAAGGGTGGCTTTTTCTCGGGCAACTTATTTCTGTAGCACAGTAATCATCACAGGTTGGTCTCCACGGAGGCTCCACAGAGATCTGACAGTGAACATCCTTTCCAGCTGAACCTGGACCATGGAACAAGCCATTCCCCAGAAAACGCCACTTCCGAGAAAATTCGGTCCAATAGAGGACACCTTTCCTAAACCAGCATTTACTGTTAACACACCAGAGTCGACCCCCCCAGGTCATGAGCGTGGGGGCAGGGACCCCAGCAGCCCCAACGGCCTCTTACCTCCTTCGCGACAGGACGGGGACGAGAAAATATCAGGAACCGATGGTCCGAAGGAGGCGACGCTTTCATCCCACAGGCATCATGGAGGTCAGCATGACCTGGGCTGCTTGGGGGCCGACGCGGGCCTCCGAGAGGAGCCACGCGCACGCACGCATGCGCACGCACGCACACACGCGTGCGCGCACGCACTGTCCGGGACGGGGGCCTTCGCTCCGGCTTCCCCAGCTCCGCCCTCCTCCCGTCACATCCGGTTCTCCTGGTCCTTGTCCGCTGTGAGCAAGACCGCTGAGAATGGCCGGGCCGGACGCCCCCCACGGACCCCTGGGCCGGGGCACCGCCCGCCTTCGGCCTGGGCTGAGGGGGGTGTGGGAGCCCGTACGGCCCTGCAGAGATTGGGGGCGCGGGGGACACACCCGGCCCTCCCAGTGTGCTTCCCCACCCCGCCCTCTCCGGGCCAGGCTGCCCGTCCTTCACAGGGAAGTTAGTGATGAAACGGATGAAAAGAACCCGCTACACATTTCAAGATTTTATTTTTTTTTGCAAAGAAATCTCATTACATCCTGACCGTCGAGCCGCGTTCCCTTAATTCTCCAGGTGCCGTTTGGCGGCGCCTTCTGAAATACGCACAGGATGCCCTGAATTCTCCCACAGTTTACCGTATTAAGAAGAAATACTGTGCAGATGAATTCACCAGATCGGGGAGAGCAGTTTCCCCTTGATTTGTGTCTGGAAAATGAGAAAAACATCCCAGCAGCGTCCGGAAGGGCCGTGAATGAAGAGTGGAGGCGGGTATTTCCTTCTCACTTTCATGACGCCACCGAGAATTATGCTCTTTTGCATTTGTTACTAAAGGACAGAACAGATGGTAAAAGGTTAGTTTAAAGTGATGTCGACATTAAAATAACGTATGGTGCCTGGCCATTGTGTTCGCCAGGGACCTCGCTCGGAGGGCTGGATCCGTCCTTAGGAAAGGCTGGATGAAAGGCAGGATTCTGGCATGAATCTCCCCCAAGGAGAAGGTATTTGCCTAATTTCGAATAAACTTGAAGCTTGGAGAAAAGTCACCATGTGCGGTTTTGAATTGCGAACGCCTTGGAGGTTTAGTCCCAGGGAGTTGAAGGG